CCCCCCCTCTCTGGGGAGCCCCCAGTGTCCGGTGACCCCCCTCTCTGGGGAGCCCCCAGTGTCCAGTAAAACCCATTCTCTGGGAATCCTCCAGCGACCACTGACCCTCTCTCCAGGGGTGCCCCGTGACCCCTCTCTCCAGGGGTGATCCCCCGGTGACCCCCAGCCCAGGAGGGGAGAGCCGCTGGGGCCGCGGCAGGGGCGAAGCACCAGGCAGGGGCAGGAACTCTTTCGTCTGTTACCCCAGTCTTCCTCCGTGCTTGTTGGAGCCCCACCCCCTCGGAGAACACCGGGGCTCTCATCCCCCTCTTCCTCGCGCCCCCCCGGCCCGTGCGTCTGGGCGCCGCGGGCGGACGGCCTGCCCTCCCATTGGCTGAAGACGTCCCGCAGTTTACCCGAGGGGCTCCCGCTGTTGGCCGAGAGCGAACTCCGCGGTTTCTGTTGGCGAGGACAGCCGTTCCTATTGGCTGCCGAGCACAGAAGGTGGGAGGGGGAGGAGCACCAGCTCTGGCTCTGCGATTGGTCATGCTTCCCCGGGTGCCAGCCGCCGCCTCCTCGTGATTGGCTGGGACTGATGGCAGCCGGCCGACGGGCCTGGACTGCGGTTGGCTGGGACGAGCACTTCGTTCTGCTGTGATTGGCCAGCCGGGACGGAAGGCGGGCAGGAGGAGCAGGGTGTGGGTGGAGCCTGCCGCCTGATTGGGTGGAATCGAATGGTGTTCGATGGCAGAACTCCGGCGCCCGGCTCCCTGTCTCATTGTTGTTGCTGTTCGTTTTAATGTAAGAACTCGGGAACTCAAGAGAAACAGAGCAAGAGACGGAGACGGGGAGGGGCGATTTAACTTGTTTTTAATTCACTGAAGTCCGAAGCTCCAGGATGGAGTGGAGTTTTAAGTAACTTTCCAGGAGCAAACTTGATTTTAACGCGGAGTGGGCGAACGGCTTGGTGGGACCTGCGGACCCCAGCTGTGGGTGTCCAGGTGAGAGACGGCCGGTCCCCTCTGTCCCGGAGACGCTGGGGTGCAGGGGGGGGTTGTCTGTCTGTCTCCCCTGGCAGAGGTCGGAGTGCCTGTGTTGTAGATAAATACTGTAGAGTCTGGAGACTCACTAATAATAACAATTAAGATAAAACAGCAAATACTCCTTTAAAGGAATAAACTGTAAAGTTAAATAAATATTAATATTAATACCGTTTTGTGTATTTTTTTTCTTTTTGGAGAGCAGCCGTTATAGGAAGCGCCCTGGCGTGCTGTCTGTGCTGCCAGGCCTGCAGGGGGCGGTGCTGAGTTGACTGGCCCTCGGCAGCTCTGGCGCCCCCCGGTGTCTCTCGCCAGTAAGCCCGGCGGGCCCGAGGGCTGGGCGGCGCGCGTTTGCTTGTGCTGTTGAAAGAGAGGGACTCCTGTGTCGCTATCGGAGGCAGGAGGTCAGAGGCGTGTTGATCATGTGCAATATTTCTTACTGTAAAGACCTCTAATAAAGACCTGTTTAACACCACTGTCGTCTCCCTCTCCTGCTCGCTCCCTCTCTCCTGTCTGCGTGTCCCCTCGACCCCCTGAACCCCCCCAGCATGCACCTCTCCGCACGGCTGGGGCGCGGTCCTGCGCGTGACTGTGTTTTTGTGTTTCTGGGTAGGTGGAGGCGGGGCTTATGAAACTGAGAAACACTCAAGACGCAGACAGGCACACTGCAGTACACAGAGACAGGCGAGACAGTCCCACTGAGAGACAGGTACACTGCATTACACAGAGACAGGCGAGACAGTCCCACTGAGAGAGAGACGGGCGAGACAGTCCCACTGAGAGAGAGACAGGTACACTGCAGTACACAGAGACAAGTGAGACGGACCCACTGAGAGAGAGACAGGCACACTGCATTACACAGAGACAGGTGAGACGGACCCACTGAGAGAGAGACAGGTACACTGCATTACACAGAGACAGACGAGACAGTCCCACTGAGAGAGAGACAGGCACACTGCAGTACACAGAGACAGGTGAGACACCCACTGAGAGAGAGACAAGCACGCTGCAGTACACAGAGACAGGCGAGACAGACCCACTGAGAGAGAGACAGGCACACTGCAATACACAGAGACAGGTGAGACGGACCCACTGAGAGACAGGCACACTGCATTACACAGAGACAGGCGAGACAGGCACACTGCAGTACACGGAGACAGGTGAGACACCCACTGAGAGAGAGACAGGCGAGACAGTCCCACTGAGAGACAGGCACACTGCAGT